GGAACACCTTGATGACAATAGGGGAACCCAAGGGCAGCTTGGTGCCCCCCTGGTGGCAACGGGTGGCTTGGAGGGGGTCTTACCATGGGGGACACCATGGTGATACTGTGCTAATGGCAGGGGACTCTGGTGACTCCCCATGGTGATGGTGGGTGACCCTGGGCATCCCTGCGACACTCCAGTGTCGTCCCCCCGCCATGCTGATGATTGCCCTGAGGGGACCCTGGTGACTCCCTGGTGACAGTGGGACATTCTGGGTGACAGTAGGGGGCCCTGGGGTCATTCTGGGTGAGAGTGGGGGGCCCTAGTGACCCTTGGAGACAGTGGGTGGCCCTTGGGGACAGCAGGAAGCCCCATGAGGGTAAACCTGATGAGACGCTGGGTAACCCCAGTGGCCCCAGGTGAGGGCACCATGGCCAAGGAGGTGGTGACGCCCCTGGGTGTCAACGGGTGACCTTGGTGGGCTCCCGGTGCCACTGTGGGGTGGTGACAGTGGTCTGGGGCCACAGACGGACCTTCTCCATCGAGGACTTCGAGGTGGGGCGCCCGCTGGGCAAGGGCAAGTTTGGCAACGTCTACCTGGCACGCGAGCGGACCTCCCGCTTCATCGTGGCCCTCAAGGTGCTCTTCAAGTCGCAGATTGAGAAGGAGGGAGTCGAGCACCAGCTGCGGCGCGAGATCGAGATCCAGGCCCACCTGCGGTACGGGGACACAGGGGGGACACCAGCTGTGGTGTGAGATCAAGATCCAGGCCCACCTGCGGTGCGGGGACACAGTGGGGGACATGGGGACACCAGCTGCAGCGTGAGATGGAGAGCCAGGCCTACCTCTGGTATGAGGACAGGGAGGACATCATGGGGATGGGCGGACGTGGGGACACCAGCTGCGGCGTGAGATGGAGATCCAGGCCCCCCTCTGGTACGAGGACGTGGGGGAGACACCAGCTATGGCATGAGCTGGAGATCCAGGCCCCCCTCTGGTACGAGGACAGAGAGGACATCAGGGGGACATGGGGACACTAGATGTGGCATGAGATGGAGATCGAGACCCATCTCCAGTATGGGGATACAGGGGGACACCATGGGGACACCAGCTGTGGTGGGACATGGAGAGCCAGGCCCACCTCCGAGTATGGGGACGCTATGGGGACATGGGGAAGACGTGAGGGGACAGCACAGGTTCTGGGTCCCCTGGGTGCCCTTGGGGTGCCTGAGGAGGGTCCCAGGGAGTTGTGAGTACCCCAAAAGTCCCTTGGGTGGGGGGTGGCCCAGGGTGCTGGGGGTGCCCTTGGGGTGCTGGAGAGGCCACCTCAGGAGGGTCCTGATGAGCTGGGTGGGGGGTCCCTTCAGGTGTCTGGGTGCTGGGACCTTGGGGTGCCCTTCAGGTCCCCATGAACTCTGGGTGCCCCAGGAGTCCCCCAGGAGGCGGGGGGGAGTGGTGTCCATGGGGTGCTGTGGGGTCCCTGGGTGCACCAAGGGTCCCAACGCGCCTCTGCGCGGGTGCCCTCAGCATCCCCTGGGCACCACGAGGACCCCGGAGAAGATATCCAGATAGGATGGGGAGTGTCCCGTGATGACATGGGTGCCTGGGGGAGGTCCTTAGGGTGCCCCTCGTCACCCTAACCCCCCCCCAGGCACCCCAACGTGCTGCGTCTCTACAACTACTTCCACGACCGCAAGCGGGTCTACCTCATCCTGGGCGCCCCTCGCCCCCCTACCCCCCCCCCAGGCCCCCCAACGTGCTGCGTCTCTACAACTACTTCCACGACCGCAAGCGGGTCTACCTCATCCTGGAGTACGCGCCGCGGGGCGAGCTCTACAAGGAGCTGCAGAAGTGCCGCCACTTCGACGAGCAGCGCAGCGCCACGGTGAGCCCCGGACACCTGGGCCCCCACCCCTGTCCAGCTGTCTGGGTCTGCTCCTCCCACATTGGTTGATGGAAGAGCTGGGGGAGTGCCCCCGCCCCGGTGGTGTTGAGGGGTCCCCTGGGGGCCATTGGGGACCTTGGGGTGACAATGTTGACACTAGGGTGGTATTGGGGACCTCAGGGTGACAGTGGGGACCCCAGGACAGTTCTGGGGTGGCCCTGATCCCCCATTTCTCTTCTCCGTAAGCTTCTGAAGAACCTAATAGATGTGTACCACCAAGGACATGAGACCTTGGGCACCTTGGGGTGCCATTGGGCACCTTGGGGTGACAACATTGACCCCAGAGTGGCATAGGGGACCTTGTGGCACCTTGGGGTGGCACTGGGGACCACAGGGCAGTTTTGGGGTGCCCCAGCTCCCTGTTTATCTCTTCTATAAGCTTCTGGAGAACTTAGTAAACGTGCACCACCAAGGAGATGAGACCTTGTGGTGGCACTGGGGACCTTGGGGTGACAGTGGGGGTCCCAGGACAGTTCTAGGGTGCCCCTGACTCTCTATTTCTCTCCTCTGCAAGCTTCTGGAGAACCTAGTAGATGGGCACCACCAAGGACATGAGACATTGGGTGCCATTGGGAACCTTGGGATGACAACGTTGACCCCAGGGTGGCATGGGGGACCTTAGGGGACCTTGGGGTGACATGGGGGACCCCAGTGCAGTTCTGGGGTGCTCCTGACCCCCCCTTCCCCCCCCACCCGCAGCTGATGGAGGAGCTGGCGGATGCGCTGCTCTACTGCCACGCCAAGAAGGTGATCCACCGTGACATCAAGCCCGAGAACCTGCTCATGGGGCTCAAGGGCGAGCTGAAGATCGCCGACTTTGGGTGGTCGGTGCACGCCCCCTCGCTCAGGTGGGGGCTGGGGGCACCTCGGGTGACAGGGGGACACCTTGGGGTGGCCCAGAGACCCAAGGTCACGGGGCTGGATGTGGCCTTAGAGCAGGTTGAGAGATCCCAGGAGCCATGAGGGACGCCAGAAGGTGTCGATGGGCCCCACGGGGGCTTGAGGGGACCCCAAGGGGCGTTGGGGGTCCCTGTGGGTGTCATGGGGCTGAGGACACCCTGGGGTGTCAGGGGGCACCTCAGGGTGACAGGGGGATGGCTCTAAGGGGTGTCAGAAGGTCTGGGGTGACCCCAAGAGGTGTTGGGGGGTCCAAGGGGGTGTCACAAGGGTTGAAGGCACCCCAGAGTGACAAGGGGACCCCAAAATGGCTTCAGGGTGGGTGTTTTGGGGTGGGGAGGGCTGGTGGGGCACCAGGGAAGGTCCCCATCCCCATGTGGGGGTCCCTAAATTTTAGGGGTGCCCCTACCACCATGGTGGCCCCTGAGGGTGAAAGAGAGTCCTACCGAACTTGGCGGGGCACCAAAATGGGGCACTGGGGAGGGTCCCCGTCCCCATGGGAGAGTCCCTGTCCCCAAGAGGAGGTCCCCTAAATTTTGAGGGTGCCTCCACCACCACGGTGGCCCCTGAGGGTGACAGAGTCCTACCAAACTTGGCGGGGCACCAAAATGGGGCACCAGGGAGGGTCCCCGTCCCCATGGGAGAGTCCCTGTCCCCAAGAGGAGGACCCCCAAGTTTTGAGGGTGCCTCCACCACCACGGTGGCCCCTGAGGGTGACAGAGTCCTACCAAACTTGGCGGGGCACCAAAATGGGGCACCAGGGAGGGTCCCCGTCCCCATGGGAGAGTCCCTGTCCCCAAGAGGAGGACCCCCAAGTTTTGAGGGTGCCTCCACCACCACGGTGGCCCCTGAGGGTGACAGAGTCCTACCAAACTTGGCGGGGCACCAAAATGGGGCACCGGGGAGGGTCCCCGTCCCCATGGGAGAGTCCCTGTCCCCAAGAGGAGGACCCCCAAGTTTTGAGGGTGCCTCCACCACCACGGTGGCCCCTGAGGGTGACAGAGTCCTACCAAACTTGGCGGGGCACCAAAATGGGGCACCGGGGAGGGTCCCCGTCCCCATGGGAGAGTCCCTGTCCCCAAGAGGAGGACCCCCAAGTTTTGAGGGTGCCTCCACCACCACGGTGGCCCCTGAGGGTGACAGAGTCCTACCAAACTTGGCGGGGCACCAAAATGGGGCACCGGGGAGGGTCCCCGTCCCCATGGGAGAGTCCCTGTCCCCAAGAGGAGGACCCCCAAGTTTTGAGGGTGCCTCCACCACCACGGTGGCCCCTGAGGGTGACAGAGTCCTACCAAACTTGGCGGGGCACCAAAATGGGGCACCGGGGAGGGTCCCCGTCCCCATGGGAGAGTCCCTGTCCCCAAGAGGAGGACCCCCAAGTTTTGAGGGTGCCTCCACCACCACGGTGGCCCCTGAGGGTGACAGAGTCCTACCAAACTTGGCGGGGCACCAAAATGGGGCACCGGGGAGGGTCCCCGTCCCCATGGGAGAGTCCCTGTCCCCAAGAGGAGGACCCCCAAGTTTTGAGGGTGCCTCCACCACCACGGTGGCCCCTGAGGGTGACAGAGTCCTACCAAACTTGGCGGGGCACCAAAATGGGGCACCGGGGAGGGTCCCCGTCCCCATGGGAGAGTCCCTGTCCCCAAGAGGAGGACCCCCAAGTTTTGAGGGTGCCTCCACCACCACGGTGGCCCCTGAGGGTGACAGAGTCCTACCAAACTTGGCGGGGCACCAAAATGGGGCACCGGGGAGGGTCCCCGTCCCCATGGGAGAGTCCCTGTCCCCAAGAGGAGGACCCCCAAGTTTTGAGGGTGCCTCCACCACCACGGTGGCCCCTGAGGGTGACAGAGTCCTACCAAACTTGGCGGGGCACCAAAATGGGGCACCGGGGAGGGTCCCCGTCCCCATGGGAGAGTCCCTGTCCCCAAGAGGAGGACCCCCAAGTTTTGAGGGTGCCTCCACCACCACGGTGGCCCCTGAGGGTGACAGAGTCCTACCAAACTTGGCGGGGCACCAAAATGGGGCACCGGGGAGGGTCCCCGTCCCCATGGGAGAGTCCCTGTCCCCAAGAGGAGGACCCCCAAGTTTTGAGGGTGCCTCCACCACCACGGTGGCCCCTGAGGGTGACAGAGTCCTACCAAACTTGGCGGGGCACCAAAATGGGGCACCGGGGAGGGTCCCCGTCCCCATGGGAGAGTCCCTGTCCCCAAGAGGAGGACCCCCAAGTTTTGAGGGTGCCTCCACCACCACGGTGGCCCCTGAGGGTGACAGAGTCCTACCAAACTTGGCGGGGCACCAAAATGGGGCACCGGGGAGGGTCCCCGTCCCCATGGGAGAGTCCCTGTCCCCAAGAGGAGGACCCCCAAGTTTTGAGGGTGCCTCCACCACCACGGTGGCCCCTGAGGGTGACAGAGTCCTACCAAACTTGGCGGGGCACCAAAATGGGGCACCGGGGAGGGTCCCCGTCCCCATGGGAGAGTCCCTGTCCCCAAGAGGAGGACCCCCAAGTTTTGAGGGTGCCTCCACCACCACGGTGGCCCCTGAGGGTGACAGAGTCCTACCAAACTTGGCGGGGCACCAAAATGGGGCACCGGGGAGGGTCCCCGTCCCCATGGGAGAGTCCCTGTCCCCAAGAGGAGGACCCCCAAGTTTTGAGGGTGCCTCCACCACCACGGTGGCCCCTGAGGGTGACAGAGTCCTACCAAACTTGGCGGGGCACCAAAATGGGGCACCGGGGAGGGTCCCCGTCCCCATGGGAGAGTCCCTGTCCCCAAGAGGAGGACCCCCAAGTTTTGAGGGTGCCTCCACCACCACGGTGGCCCCTGAGGGTGACAGAGTCCTACCAAACTTGGCGGGGCACCAAAATGGGGCACCGGGGAGGGTCCCCGTCCCCATGGGAGAGTCCCTGTCCCCAAGAGGAGGACCCCCAAGTTTTGAGGGTGCCTCCACCACCACGGTGGCCCCTGAGGGTGACAGAGTCCTACCAAACTTGGCGGGGCACCAAAATGGGGCACCGGGGAGGGTCCCCGTCCCCATGGGAGAGTCCCTGTCCCCAAGAGGAGGACCCCCAAGTTTTGAGGGTGCCTCCACCACCACGGTGGCCCCTGAGGGTGACAGAGTCCTACCAAACTTGGCGGGGCACCAAAATGGGGCACCGGGGAGGGTCCCCGTCCCCATGGGAGAGTCCCTGTCCCCAAGAGGAGGACCCCCAAGTTTTGAGGGTGCCTCCACCACCACGGTGGCCCCTGAGGGTGACAGAGTCCTACCAAACTTGGCGGGGCACCAAAATGGGGCACCGGGGAGGGTCCCCGTCCCCATGGGAGAGTCCCTGTCCCCAAGAGGAGGACCCCCAAGTTTTGAGGGTGCCTCCACCACCACGGTGGCCCCTGAGGGTGACAGAGTCCTACCAAACTTGGCGGGGCACCAAAATGGGGCACCGGGGAGGGTCCCCGTCCCCATGGGAGAGTCCCTGTCCCCAAGAGGAGGACCCCCAAGTTTTGAGGGTGCCTCCACCACCACGGTGGCCCCTGAGGGTGACAGAGTCCTACCAAACTTGGCGGGGCACCAAAATGGGGCACCGGGGAGGGTCCCCGTCCCCATGGGAGAGTCCCTGTCCCCAAGAGGAGGACCCCCAAGTTTTGAGGGTGCCTCCACCACCACGGTGGCCCCTGAGGGTGACAGAGTCCTACCAAACTTGGCGGGGCACCAAAATGGGGCACCGGGGAGGGTCCCCGTCCCCATGGGAGAGTCCCTGTCCCCAAGAGGAGGACCCCCAAGTTTTGAGGGTGCCTCCACCACCACGGTGGCCCCTGAGGGTGACAGAGTCCTACCAAACTTGGCGGGGCACCAAAATGGGGCACCGGGGAGGGTCCCCGTCCCCATGGGAGAGTCCCTGTCCCCAAGAGGAGGACCCCCAAGTTTTGAGGGTGCCTCCACCACCACGGTGGCCCCTGAGGGTGACAGAGTCCTACCAAACTTGGCGGGGCACCAAAATGGGGCACCGGGGAGGGTCCCCGTCCCCATGGGAGAGTCCCTGTCCCCAAGAGGAGGACCCCCAAGTTTTGAGGGTGCCTCCACCACCACGGTGGCCCCTGAGGGTGACAGAGTCCTACCAAACTTGGCGGGGCACCAAAATGGGGCACCGGGGAGGGTCCCCGTCCCCATGGGAGAGTCCCTGTCCCCAAGAGGAGGACCCCCAAGTTTTGAGGGTGCCTCCACCACCACGGTGGCCCCTGAGGGTGACAGAGTCCTACCAAACTTGGCGGGGCACCAAAATGGGGCACCGGGGAGGGTCCCCGTCCCCATGGGAGAGTCCCTGTCCCCAAGAGGAGGACCCCCAAGTTTTGAGGGTGCCTCCACCACCACGGTGGCCCCTGAGGGTGACAGAGTCCTACCAAACTTGGCGGGGCACCAAAATGGGGCACCGGGGAGGGTCCCCGTCCCCATGGGAGAGTCCCTGTCCCCAAGAGGAGGACCCCCAAGTTTTGAGGGTGCCTCCACCACCACGGTGGCCCCTGAGGGTGACAGAGTCCTACCAAACTTGGCGGGGCACCAAAATGGGGCACCGGGGAGGGTCCCCGTCCCCATGGGAGAGTCCCTGTCCCCAAGAGGAGGACCCCCAAGTTTTGAGGGTGCCTCCACCACCACGGTGGCCCCTGAGGGTGACAGAGTCCTACCAAACTTGGCGGGGCACCAAAATGGGGCACCGGGGAGGGTCCCCGTCCCCATGGGAGAGTCCCTGTCCCCAAGAGGAGGACCCCCAAGTTTTGAGGGTGCCTCCACCACCACGGTGGCCCCTGAGGGTGACAGAGTCCTACCAAACTTGGCGGGGCACCAAAATGGGGCACCGGGGAGGGTCCCCGTCCCCATGGGAGAGTCCCTGTCCCCAAGAGGAGGACCCCCAAGTTTTGAGGGTGCCTCCACCACCACGGTGGCCCCTGAGGGTGACAGAGTCCTACCAAACTTGGCGGGGCACCAAAATGGGGCACCGGGGAGGGTCCCCGTCCCCATGGGAGAGTCCCTGTCCCCAAGAGGAGGACCCCCAAGTTTTGAGGGTGCCTCCACCACCACGGTGGCCCCTGAGGGTGACAGAGTCCTACCAAACTTGG